GGTCACGCATCTTGACACGCACAGGCGTCGTCGGACGTAGGGCAGGGCAACACAATAAAATATGTACACACACTCACGCACATAAATATTTATATATATATACGCAGCTCAGCCAGGCTGAGAAGAGGCCTTTCACAGAGACAGTCCGACCGGAGAAAAGGACCACATTATCTTAAACTACACCCCCATCCCCCCCCCCAGCCCTCTCATCGCCACCCAGGAACTGTACAAAGCCAGAGGTTAGAAAAGTAAAATCCAGAGGTTAAAAAAAAAAAATCACAGTTAATAAAAACACCAAAAAATAAAACTATGACAACGACGACAGTAACGACGACAAAGGAAGCGGGGTGGGGCGGTGAAGACGAGGGCACTGGACACAGCCGAGCTCGTCGCTGACCTGTCCCTGCGGCTCGTGCTGCTGTGGTCACTTCAGTGTCCGCAAGGTCCCACCTCCTTTAACGCAGCCTCCCTCTCCCCACCCCACCCCCACCCCCACAGTCCCCCCAAAATCCCCAAACCAGCCCAAACCCCACCCCACTTTCTCCAACTACCTGGGGGGCCTCCTCTTCTCCCTCCTCCTCCTCCTCCTCCTCACTTCCTCCGCGGGGGAATCGGGGATGTGAGGCCCCCAGATCGCCCCCTGTACCCACTAATTCCCTTCCTCTCCCTCCAGCTGGTAAAAAAAAATTCCCAAATTGAGCCTAAATCTGAACATCCCCCTCTCTTTTCTCTCTCTCCCTGGAGTGTGTGTGTGTGTGTCTGTGTGTGTGTGTGGGACGGGGGGAGGTTTTATGAGGTTCAGTGTATTTTCTAGGTCCCCCCCTGAACCCCCATCCACCTCACGGGAGACCTCTATATCCCACCCCCCGTTCCCCCCACCAGATTCTCCCACAGCCGGCCTGCCCCGGCCCCTGCGCGTGTCTGTGTGTGTGTGTGCGCGCGCGCGTATGGGAGAGGGGGTGCAGGCCGTGGGGGACAAGCCAGACAATGTCCCCCCCCCCGTTCCGTCTGGGCAAGCTCACCCACAACGCGTCAAGCCCACACCCATGCTGTGTTCGTGGGCTGGGGGGAGGGACAGGGGTCAGAGGTCAGAGGTCAGAGGGGAGGGTCATAGCCTGGACCTCACTAAAGCATACTGCCCAACCCTCCACCCCTCCCCCCCCCCCAAAACCCACTTTTGGGGTACCCTTATTCAAAGGGTAAGGGTGAAGCGGGGATCCCGGCTGCGCAGATGGGGAGGGTGGGTAGTGGGGGAGTTTCAATCCGAGAGGGAGAGGGGTACAAGGGGGTACATGAGGCGGGGAGGGGCTGGTTCTAGCAGCAGCCCCCCCCAGACTGCCTGACCGGGGTGCTCTCGATCTTGAGGTGGGGCTTGTCCCCCCCCGCGGTGGCCCCGGGGCCCATGCGCTTCTTGATCTCGGCCGCCATGGTCATGAAAGCCTGCTCCACGTTGGTGGCGTTCTTGGCGCTGGTCTCCAGGAAGGGGATGGCCAACGAGTCCGCAAACTCCTGCGAGCAGAGAGAGGCAGGGGCATGGCGCTGCAGGTTCAAAGAGCTCATGACGTCTTATAGACTGGGGGCTCC